CCCAAACCATTCTATGATTCATTCATTCTATGGCAGCTTCAGTGTCATTAATATTTCCTTACAAGGGTAAATACAGCATTTTTAGAAATAACACTGTTTGTTTCCTCTCCGGCTGTTTGGCAGGATGTGTTCCCCCTATTATAGGGGATCGACAGTTCTACTACAACACCTCTTACCAAACGCAGTTTGAGGGTGGTTGGACCTCGCCTGCAAAACCAATTAAAAAGGTAACAGCATGATTTGGGGGAGGACCCAGACAGTTCCCATGTTGAATTCTGTCCTGAAAGGGATGTGATCTGTGCAAGTGGCAACCAGATGGGTGGAAAGACAGAGGGGAAACAAAGGGATTGTGCTTTAAGTGGCTGTTCTGTAGCTCTCCTGGTTTTCCTTCAGCTCACATCTGTTAAATTTGGCGATCTCAGAAGCAGTGGATATATGAGCGAGCAGAAACACGCCTACGTTGCTCCAAACAGGAGAACACACAGGTATCGGCAGGAGAACCTGATGGGCATTCCCAGAAACTGCTCTTTCTGATGAAAATTGATATTGAAGCAGCTCATATCTGCTATCTTGCAGTGTCTATGACAAGGAACGTGCTGCTTCCCACATCTACCGGACGAACGTGCAGCTGGGGGATGGCTGCACCAGATTCTCCACCTTGACATCCGAGCACTTCCCAGTACACAACATAGGTAGGGAACTCTCTGATGAGGAACAACGTGAACACACCAGTACTGGGGGTTATAATAAGCTGAACAGTAGGTTTTATCACTTGATTTTAATGATAAAATTATAGATAAAGATATAATGCATTCATATAATATGTATACAGTTTTATATGTTTAATTTTTTGTAGTTTTTATGTACTCAGCATCAGTGTCATCACTGCAAGGCTCAGCTTCATCCTCACTCCACATCCCTAGCAGGCTAAATAGCTGTATTTACTCCTGTGCTTTATTTCATGAGGAGAAGCTGCTGGAGCTATAATTTGGTCAGAGATCGGGGTGCTCTAACATCCTCCACTCTTGCTTTTACCAGAGCCTATAACTCTTGCCCCTCCGACCCAATATGCCTCGTCTATCCCCAGAGGTGATGAAGACCCTGAGAGAAATCAAGTGTTGGCAAGAACTACTACTATGCAGCTTTCCTACCCAGAGGTTTGTTCCCAGCTTTGCTGTGCGGGTGTTTCTTTGGAAGAAACCTTCTTCTCCTTCTCCTTCTCCTTCTCCTTCTCCTTCTCCTTCTCCTTCTCCTTCTCCTTCTCCTTCTCCTTCTCCTTCTCCTTCTCCTTCTTTCTCCTCCTTCTCCTTCTCTTCCTCATTCTCCTTCTCCTCCTTCTCCTTCTCCTTCTCCTCCTTCTCCTTCTCCTTCTCCTCCTCCTCCTCCTCCTCCTTCTCCTCCTTCTCCTCCTCATTCTCCTTCTTCTCCTTCTTCTCCTTCTTCTCCTTCTTCTCCTTCTCCTTCTCCTCTTCTCTACACTACTCTGGCACCTAAAGCCAATGCTCTTGTCCCTTCTCCCGTCCCCACTCTGGACTGGACAGGGTGTAATGTGCAGCGTGTTTCTGTTAAAGCTAACTCATGTTCTGCAGACTGGCAGGTGGAACTTCCCACCGAAGCCTGACCCACTGCTACAGAAGAGTCAAAGCAACATCTGCTTGAGGGACGAGTGTTCAGGTGTCCCTTTCTTCAGCACAACGCATCAGGCACACTATGAGCCACCCCCCTGGAGCCAGAGGGTGATGGCAGACAGCAAGAGACACCATGAGAGCCACATCCCCTTCGACTACCACAGTAAGGCTACATTGCTCGGATTGTCGTGGTGCTGTATGAAGCCTGCTGAGGTTCTCCTCGCTCTGTGCAATGGACAGAGATGCCTGGTGCTCTGGGAAAGGAGGCAGCCCAGACATCTTGGGCTAGAGCACCTCTCCTATGAAGAAAGGCTGAGATAGTTGGGCTTGTTCAGCCTGGAGCAGAGCAGGCTCCGGGGAGACCTTATTGCAGCCTTCCAGTACTTGAAGGGGCTACAAGGAAGCTGGGGGGGACTTTTACAAGGGCCTGTAGTGACAGGACAAGGGGTAATGGGGACCAATTGAAAACAGGGAGGTTTAGATTGGATATCAGGAAGAAATTCTTCCCAGAGAGGGTGGGGAGGCACAGGGACAGGTTGCCCAGAGAAGCCGTGGATGCCCCATCCCTGGAAGTGTCCAAGGCCAGGCTGGATGAAGCTTGGAGCAACCTGGTCTATGGAAGGTGTCCCTGCCCATGGCAGGGGGTGGGACTGGGTGGGCTTTAAGATCCGTTCCAACCCAAACCGTTCCATGATTCGATGATCTTGGGTTGGAAATGGCAGGAAGGCCCTGGTACAGTGTCACATCTTTAGTAAATTGAGGCTTTTACCCCAAAACCGTGGGGTAGGACAGCCGTGCTCAGCCCCATACCTGCTGCTGATGATTCTCACAGTGGCTCCTAATCTCAGGCACTTTCACCTTCTCACATGACATCTCACTCGCCAGCCACTTCGATGCCTGTCCCAGCCATGGGCATTCGCTGCCATCAGACAGCGGGGTTTAGCATCTTCAGGTGACATGAATGATTTCTGGGACATGAACCAGAGGCTTGATCTTTCTGCCCTGCTACGTTTGTTTTTAGAAGTCGTTTTGCATTTGTATTTGGGAGGAAGGAGAGGATTTCGATCAAAAGCTGTGCTTATGCAACCTCGGGACGGGATGCGGTTAGAGCTGGTCATGGAATGCATTAACAAAATCCTCCTCTGACGCTGCTTCCTGTTTCTGATCACCAGTACTCTGCAGCTAAGAGAGAGGTCCCTTCATGGATCTGGTTTTAAGCCATTTGTTTTACTAAATGTGGAACAAATCACAGTTGAATTAATCTTTTTCTTGGCCCCAAACTTCTGGAGCAGTTCCATAACTAGCATATGGAGTGATATTCCTGTAACTTCCACGTGAATTTCTTCATTTACCTCCTCACCCTGAGAACTCTTTTCTGCCTGGGCAAAGGTTTTCAGCACAGTGCTGACAGCAAGGCCTGTCCTTTCCTCTCGTTAGTGAAAATGCATGCAGGCCTGCGGCTGCAAGTCAAACTGCAAAGCTTTTCTGATGTTGCCTCCTAATTTACAGGCTTGAATTTCATTTTTCTTTCAATTCCATCTGTCAGCAGATACAAGATATGTCACAACCACGCAGGCCATGCTGGTCCCACACGAACAGCAGAAACAACGACCCTCCGAAGACATGCTGCGGAAGGTACAGCTTGGATTTACCACGGGGTGGCTCGGGGAAGCGGGATTATACCAAGGAAAGCTGTAGCCTCCCCATTAAAAAAAAACAGGCAACCAGCTCCCTAAGCCAGGGAATGCTGGAGGGAGGGGGAAGGTGATTCTGGTCCCCCACAGAGGATCAGAGGAGGAAAAATGTCATGGCTAGAGGCATCCAGCTAGGGTAAATGTCTCTGGGCACCACCACCCAGAAGGCTGTGCCTCTGCCAGAGAGTGAGGATGCAGGCAGGCACAGACTGCAGCCGCCCAGGGGGGTGACCCCTCCGGTAGCAACGTGGGGCTCAGACCTCGGGGCTGCCAGGTTCCACATTACCACCAGCCTCTTCGCCACCCCCATCTGCTGAAAGCTCTTTTCTCTCCTCAGATTAAATACTCCCACCTGGGGGTGCCCTGGAGGGTGCAGGCCCGCTTCAGCACTGAGCAGAAAGACGAGTTCACGCCCAAGACCACAGGCCCAGCAGAAATCCGAAAGGCAAATTCCCAAGTGAGCTACGTCCCACTGGGGACCCTGAAAAAACACCATCCCCACAAGAAGGTGCGTTTCGCAATGTGATGTCCCCTCTTCAGTGACCGCCCAAACCTCCTTCACGTCGTGTTAGCAGCATCGTCCCACTGCCCTCCTCTTCGCCCCTCTGTGTGTCTTTACAGCGAGTATTTATTTCACGAGTTGAACAAGGACACAAAAAGGTGTTGTGACAGCAAGAATAAACACTGGGAGATCAGCCCAAAGACATGGGTGACACATCCCTCTGGGTTTTGAGACCCAGTGAGTGCCTCTCCGCAGGTGCTGGGGCCTGAGGGAGCGGGGGGGGCGTAGGGGGAAGCTCAGAGAAAGGGCAAGAGATCAGAAGCAAAGCGAGGGGCAGTGCCAGGACTGTGTGGGCTGGAATACTCCCTTATTATCTGTTTGGATTTTGGTGTCAAGGCCTGAAACCAAAGGTCAGTGGACAGAAGGGCAGAGAGGGAGCCCTCCCCAGCTTATGAGTGGGCTGTTTTCCTAGAGGTGAGCCGTGTTTTTGTTGAGCTGAGTTGATAACTCACATGGGTTTCCTGAATGCTGAGCTTGCACTAGCTCTGTTTGGGATCTATGTATTTCAGAGAGGGATCAGCGTGGGCCGGCCAGCCCCGGCCCTTGGGAGGCCAAGTGAGCCGGGTCAGCTGCGGCCACTTCACGAGCTGAGGCCTTTGGAGGCAGATGGGCTTGAATTACATCTGCTGTGAGCCAGCACCAAGCATTTGAGTGCTAAACCACTTCCAATTGCTCCCGTTTGTGTGTGTGAGCAGCAGCTGGGCCCACAAACCTCCATGCTTTCCTGTTGGGATCGACTCCGTGTCTCAGGAAAGGGACAATCTTTGCTCCACACGTACTCCAAAGAAGCGGCGTACTCCAGTCCTGCACATCGCAGGCACCTCGCATCAGTATCTTACTCTGGTACGTTGCAAACACCTTGATTCAAACACCTCGATTGCATCGTTTGATGTGGTATCGGGGACTTGCATCTGCTACCAACCTGCCCCATTACTTTTTTGTGACCCTGAGGTGTCATTGCCACCTGTGCTACCACAGAAACAGCCACGGTTCCCTGGGGATAAAGGGCGAACATCACCCTCCGTGTGGAACCAGCCGGCTGGGAGGACCCTGTGCTTATTTACTTTCTTTTTCATGTGGATTTTGATGCAACTTCAGACACAGAAAGTAAAACCGGCTTTTGGGGTAGGGGTCTTTGCTTCCTAAACTCCTCTCTCACCCCTTCCAGCAATGCCCCAGAAAAAAAACCAGGAAGGCCTGAACCGGGAAGGCCAAACAACCTTTCTTTGATTCCCCCACCTACATGAACCCCGCCAGCACGGTTGGTGGTGCGTGACACCCCTCCCTGCTGATGGAGCCACCAGCACGTACCGCTTTCATGTCAACAGCGTCTGTGACTCAGAGATAAGATGAAGTCACGTTATTTCTCTACCGGTTTAAAAAACGTCACTCATCTCCAAGGCCGCGTCCTCGGTACCGCATCAGCCTCACGCGCGTGAGGTCAACGCTAAACCATCACCTCAAAACAAGCTCTCGGTCCGACCCTGGGGAAGATTAGGCCTGCAGGGTTGGGCCAGTGAGGGGCTGGGATAAATTGAGGGATCTTGGTGTAGCCTTTGCTCTTTCCTCCCGTCCCTGGAGGGCTGCACAGCTGCCGGCC